CAAAGCACAATGTTTCCCCTATAGAAACACATAAATCCTCAGAGAAAACCCTGCAGGGTCCTAACTGAGCATGCTCAGTTCATTCTCATACACTCACTTATTTGACCAGCCAGGCAGAGAGAGGCCAGGGATGTTTCTCTAGTAGTAGAAATTCTTTCACAGAAATTTGAGCTCATGTGAATGGAGGCTTCCCCTGATAGAAGTCCTAGGGAGTTTTGGGTTTCTAATATTTGTAAACTTTGATGTTGTAGTTTAGCTTTCTGTTTGTGATTTGGGGAGGGAAGAATTTACGAAGGGTTTACCTCTCCTAATGACCATGAAAACTGTGTGTGTGTGTGTGTGAGCTAAAAAAGGACCATAGACATTCAGATATTAGAGTTATGTTAATGTATGCATTTTTCTTAAGAAAAAAGAGTTTGATGTTCCAGTAAATCTATTGAAAGGATCAGTGACATCAGTGTGTATGGCTCATGAAAATGCTTTCAAGTTCCCTTCCGCTTCTCTTACAAGTTTCCACATACTTCTCTGATTTTCTTCAAGTAGTTCGAGAATACAAGATAAGTAAAAATCTATTTTAAATGGAAGTTTTCTATTTTTTCAGTGTGGTTGGGTTTTTGGTATTGTACCATTTTTCATTTCTATTGTAAAAAATATATACTATTTTAGTTGCATCATGCATTAGAAAGTACTTGTGGATTAGGTGAGGAGTTAGTTAACCACAGGGATTTTTTGTTTTGCCATAATAATATTCTCTTTTTATTTTTCTAGTGCTTTATGGTAGATATTGAATACAGGAAGTTTTATGGACTGTACCTTTCATTATGTCCTCTAAGGTTATATTTGAATCTGTAGCACCTTTGACCTAATTGAAATAAATTCAAATGAATAAGAACTATTAAATAATAGACTTAGGAATTACTTGTGAAAATATTTTGTTATACAAATCTTTGAAGTTTTGCTGTACTTTTCAGTTCACAGTTGCAAGAATGAGAGTACTTTCTCTGAGATGTTCAAAGGGAAGGTGTTTAAAAGGAATGACTTCTATAAATTGAAAGGAGTACAAATGAGAATTCTCAATGGATTCATGATCTGGACCCTATAACATTACTTAGTAATGTAGACTGAGTTCTTTAAGGGCAAGAACTATTCTACTGATCTTTACATTCAGTATCAAATATATATTATCAAATATACATATAATACATTTAATGCTTAATATATAGTTAGTGTTTAATATTTCTTGAATGAATGAGTGAATCATCAACTCTCATGATAAGTTTAGTTCTCATAATTAGGGTAGGAGAGGATGGAACATTCTAGAAGCTCTGCTATAGGTCTTCATAAAATCATGTTTCACCTTGTTAAACTTCTTTTCATGCATATAGTTTTTGCTGGGTCATTTATTTATTTATTTATTTTTAAAAGATTTTATTTATTTATTTGACGCAGAGAGAGAGACAGCTAGAGAGGGAACACAAGCAGGGGGAGCGGGAGGGGGAGAAGCAGGCTCCTGGTTGAGCAAGGAGCCCGATGCGGGGCTCGATCCCCGGACCCCGGGATCATGACCTGAGCTGAAGGCAGACACTTAACGACTGAGCCACCCAGGTGCCCCTTGCTGGGTCATTTAATCATATACACTCAATGAGTGTTTTTGAAGACATGGTTTCAAGTTGAAAGATATATGTTAAGTATGGGACAGGAACATGAAAAGAAAAGGAATTTTTGTATGTGTGTGGTGGGTTTCTGGGTTTTAAATTTTTTTTAATTTTAATTTTTGTTTTGACAGTATATTCATATGTTAATAATGATAAAAGGAAAAATGAGGTTACTTTAATACACTTAATGATTACCTATTTTACAGAGCCCTTGCAACACTTAAATGTTCGCTTATTCATTAATTTATTCATTGAAAAAGCATTTCTTTGGTGTTTTAAACCTCCTAGAGATAATCAGAGATTTGTTGGACTCGAAAATGCCACATCATAAACACCAATAAATATGGCAATTACTGTATTTCATTGATTCTAAGAAGCCTGTTTTTCCCCTATTTTAAGATCTCTGAAATTTGGAGATATCATAAAATTGTTAGTGTCTTTCAGTTATAATTGGCAGTATAGAATGTCTTATACTTGATACCTTAAAGTTGATGAAATACATTTCTAAACAATCACTGAATTTTGAGATCCTGAAGCAAGATCCACATGTAATTGATCTTGACATTTCCCTGTCACCTAGCATGAATCTCACTAAATATATTTTGTACTAATCAGTAAGGAAGCGTTTCTCTTAAAACCTTAGCTATAGACTTGAATCTTTGGATTCTATGAGTTTAGAATGTTTTAAAAAGTTATTACATGTAATTTTAATGCAATACAGCCACAATTCTTCCTTCCATTGAATAGTTTAAACCTTACTGGCATTTTAATTACTCCTTTTTTATAATTCATGACTTCTTTTTAGCAATTACAATGTATCTTACTATTAGGAATTCTTGGGTTGAATTTTCATTTCTGATTTGCAGATGGCTGAAGTGTGTGCTTGACTGATTAGGATGAACTGATTATAGTTTAAGATAAACTGATAAAGTGTAGCTAGTTTTCAATTATCCATCCTAATAGCATGGATAATTGTAATTTGCAAATGATCTCCCAACCCTTTATTCGTTATTTTATGGGTGATACTAATATGTAGCAAAGTTATATTGATTTGCATTTCTAAACTTCATGTTTTCTCTTTAGAGGAGGTAATAACAAATACTGAAATGGCAAAAAAAAGGCAGCAATAGAGAATATATAAGAAAATTGAAAGACCCGAATATCCACCAACTGGGTAATTGACCTCTGAGCAATAAAAAGTTGGCTGTGATTTCATGCATTACATTGAGCATTGTTTAGATTTAACTTTTGTTCACTACTGATTAAATTAAAGTTTGAGGTGAAATGCTCTATATCTCATTTCTAAACTCTCAACCGTTCAATCGTCTCTCATTGTGAACTCATGAGATTTAGACATGATAAAACAATAATGAGAAGTTAAAAATCAGAGTTAGAAAAAAGTTCTATGTATTTTAAACCTGCAGTCTTCTAGAAAGGAGAAAAGCAATTATAAGAGTTTCAAGAATCAATAGAAATTGATGTTTTATACCAAAGAAAACTTAAGACCTTGAGTCCTGCCTCCCCACCATCACTATACAAATAAAAAGAAATCAATAGGCCTAGAAACATAAGCTATTAAAGATTGATGTTCAGCAACTAGTTTTGATACTTAGGCATTGTTTCATATTCTGATTCAGAAAAATATATGTTATTAAATAAGAAATTGTATTTTTAATTTAAAAATGTTTTCTTTTTAATCTCCAGATTTTTTATATACTTCATTTTGAAATAAGAATAAATGTTAGGCATGGATTTAAAAAATAATTCTGCATGTGATTTCTTACTAGTTACCTAGGAAGTTCTAAAGGTCCTTCCATCAAAAAGATACATAGTTCTATATTAAAAAATTGTTAACAGACTTTGGTGAGGATGTATTTAACTAATTTCCCATCTCCTGAATAATCTCTTAGCTCCTGTAGTAGGAGATGTAATTGAAGGATTTAGAAATGAATACTGAAATGAGCCAGTGAAGACAGCAGTTACTTATGGGACTCCGAAACTGAGCATGAGAAATTAGAACTTGAAGCTCAGTTTGGAGTTTTAAGGAAATGGCTGAAGTAGTGAGATTTTATGGATCTCATTAGTGGTAAAATTTGTAAGAATTTCCTGATACTCTCAGTAACAAAGTAACTTTTGTGTCTTAGTGTATCAGTTCCCCAGTGATAGACCTGAATGGCTAACAGTGTTTCCTGTAATGAAGACATTCAAGGCATACCCAGATTTTGTGAAACCCACTAACAGTCTTGCAAGGAAGAACACATTTTTAAAATGTCATAGCTCCCAGTGGATTATCATTATTAATGTTATTATTATTATTAATGGTTGTTAACTATAAGGGGCCAGTTATGCACAGTTCATAGCTGGCTTTCTATAATACCACTTCTTTCCTTTTCAAAAAACAAATCTTGAATTTAGGTGAATGAAAGTGATCTGGGAACAACTTTGGATCAATTTTGATTCATTAAAGAATCATTTACAAACTTATATACTACATTATTAATAAATTACTTGACATGGTTATGGTGTGATTGCTGTATACCACGTGTTGGGACATTGCTTGAGAACAGTGCTTTCTTGATTTTACTGTAATGCATTCACTATGATGAGTAATCGTGTACAACAAATTATTTTTCTTGGCATTCTTTGTATCATGGATATCTTCTACTCTACAAAATGTATACGATTGTTCCTTTATGTATAGTGAATGGGAAGTAAAGAGAGAAGCTATAACCGAGTTCATCACAGCTCTTTTCTCATGGCAGGAAATAAACTTTCCTTTACCTTTTTGCATTTCAAACATTTTCACTAAAAAAACAAAACAAAAACCCTCAAAAAACCTCAAAGCTTCCAAACTAAGAACACAGTATTTACATGAAAAGACTAAGAGCCAAGTGGAGCAAAGAGAGATCTTGGCTTTAAATAGTAAAGTTAAAATATCTTTACAGAGAAAATAATAGAAATAATGAACTTATCTAGAGACATGATTCCTTTGTTCCACTCTTGGAATATCACTTCCTATCAATAGGTGAAGCTCTTCCTCAGTTTGGTTTCATATCACCTGTCAGGGTTTAATCATATTTTTAAAGCCAGGAAGGACTTGTCTCCTTTCTTACAGTTTTAGCAGTTGATTCATTGTAATGCTGTGAATGGCTTTAGTTATCTTTGGATCTCAGTACCTGGCATAAAACCTAGAAGGTAGTCCATAATTATTTGTTGAATTAGCTTAACTTAATCAGCCTTAATATAAGTCAAAATACCATTAATAAATTCTGATAGTTCTTAGAAATTTTAGCATATAAATGTCACCAGAAATTTCTTTTCTTTTTACCTTTTTTCTCTACCCAGATTTGCATCTGCTGGTGATGACGGAATTGTAGTTGTGTGGAATGCCCAGGTGTGTATTAATTCTATGTGAATTGTGTAATAAAGACATGACTTTATAGTTGAGTTTGCATTCATAAATGTTATTTGGGTATATACCTGCATATGAGTATACTGAAACTAATTAATACTTGAAAAAGGCTACTTACGATGAATCCATTTATAATGGGGGGGCAATATTTCATAGTAGAGAAAGTTTTAATCTTACTGAACAAATTTAAGTTACCAGCAACTATGTACTGACTCTGAAAATGGATTAAGTGTTGATTTATTTTTGTGGGAGATAGAATTTTTATTTCAAACTTGTACGATAGCATAATGTAATATTCTTCTCATGTTTGACTTTAATAGGAATGTAATAAAAGGCTAATTTTTTTTCAAAAATATTTAAGGCTTCACCAAACTTTTAAGGCTGATCTTTTGATACTCAAATTATTCTCTTTTGAAACATTTATCTTCTCACTGTTACTTGGATTGTTAACTGGTCTGACTCTTTCAGATCCTCATTTCTCAGTGGCTTTGACAGTGATTAAAGCAGTTATTTAACATTATGTTCACCATGTTCATGAAATCCTGCGACCTTGGAAGGATTTGCAATTTATGTTATATTTACATTGGATCTTTTGTGTTTACTACTTGGGAAAGTCAGTGAGAGACTGATAGCTGAAGACACTAGATAGATAGGAATAGCTGTTGTTGTTAGAGATGGAGTGGAGACTGAGTTTATGAGTGGTTGAACTACTACTCTTGGATGTGTACAGTATATGTATTGTGTTGTTATGCTAACTTTTATTTCCCTCAACAACATTTTAACTTTGGAGATTAGATAACAAATACTTGGATAATGAGGACTCCCTATTTTTTTCCTACAGATTAGTTACTGATTTTTTTATGCTTAATTTATACAATTCTTAAAACCACATGGTATGGTTTTAAGAATATCCCTTTAAATTTTCATGTAAAAATATGCTAAAAATTAGTATTTTCTATTAGAAAATAATTATGGCTACTCTTTCAGTACCTGTTTAGATTCTATTTGATTGCTTAAAGTTAGATTTTAGCATCTAAGTAATTAAAAATGGAATTATATTATTTTCTACATGGTGATTCTTCTAAATGTTGTCATTTAAGATTATTTAAGTTATAAATATGATATGAGCCTATTGAAATTTTTATTGGTATTTCAGACAGGAGAAAAACTTCTGGAACTTAATGGACACACTCAAAAGATAACAGCTCTTATTACATTTCCTTCCTTGGAAGCTTGTGAAGAAAAAAACCAACTGATCTTGACAACCTCTGCTGATAGAACAGTTATTATATCCTTAAATCTGGAAGAAAGTGAAATAGCTATAGTGACCCAAGGGTACATACATTATTAGATTTTAGCCTTTGGGGGCTTGTCTGTGCATTCATTTTAGCAAAAATGATTTTGCTCTAGCCTTTATAATACACTTCTTAAAAGTATTAGGCATCTGAAAAGTATTAGACTGGGAATAGGTTAAAGGCTTATTGTTGATGGAAACCCCATGACTAAAGCTGTTCTTTCCAGAGTTACTATTATATCAAGTCATAGAAAATGGAGAATTTGGGCTTAAAAGTACTTATTTATCTTAGTTTGTAAGAGATATTTAAAGAAACAAAGATGAGTTAGACTGGAGAATAATTTACATTTTTGTTTGTACAGTATTATACAGCAAAAGAAATGTAACGGCCCCAACCCATAAGAACCTTCTGAACATCTGAGCTTGGCAGAAAAGTGAATTACCATATGCTTAGTGTTTAATATTTAGTTTTTAAAAATAATTTTAAAAGAGTAAATTCTCCCCCTCCCCTGTTTTTAGATAAAAATTTAAGGTGTAACAAAATGGTAAAGTTCTCTAGAGAGCACTTATGTGTGCCAGGCATTGTTGTGTTTAACATATATTACATATGTTTTTACGTATATTCCATATTACATATATTAACATGTTTAATTCATATAAGTATTTTTATTCTTAATTAATTCCAGAAAAGAAAAGAGAGGCACAGAGAGGTTAAGTAACTTGCCCTAGGTCATACAGCCACTAGAGGGCAGATGGCAAGCAGTCTGACTGCAGGGTCAGAACTCTGAACCACTGTATATTATTGCCTTCATAAAATACTTCCCTTTATTATTTATATGCGGAATTTAGCCTTTAATATTTATATGAGGAATTAGATTTGTGAAGGCCTCAGCCAAATACTTAAAGGAAACTGTAATCTTACTTAAAAAAAAAAAAAAGGTATCCGAGATTAGCTTTAAATTGTGCTTATCTGAGAATTCTGTTTAAATAGTTTGAAGCATTAGGAAAGTAAGTTTTGGAGTATGCCCAAAGGAGTAGGTGTTTCCTGGGCTTCTACAGAACCAGGACAGACCTTATTATACACTTCATTATTTTTTTAAAGATTTTATTTATTTACTTATTTGAGGTAGAGAGAGCAAGCATGCGAGCGCATGCAAGCCTTAGCATGGGTGGGGTGTGCAGAGGGAGAGGGAGAAGCAGACTCCCCTGCTGAGCAGGGAGCCCGACCTGGGGCTCAGTCTCAGGACCCTGGGGTCATGACCTGAGCTGAAGGCAGATGCTTAACTGACTGAGCCACCCAGGTGCCCCCATAACACACTTTAAATGAGTTCATTAGCTCAAGTGATTTCTAGACAGATTGCCAATAGGTGAAAAAATTTCAAGTTAAGATTTATATGCGGTAAACTGTATTTTGTGGTGATGACAGTGTTGCATAAGCAATATTACATATATTTAAGTCAGAGTAATTTTATTACTACTGTTCTGTTGAGACAAATATTATTTTAGGGCCTAAGCTTTTTGTTTGTGTTCAGTATCAGTATAATCTCCAAAAATAGAATTTAAAATACTTTGTTTTTATTAGACCATTCCTAAGGTACTATAATAATGCTTAGAGGCAAATACTAAATTGCTGTTATAGTATGGAGATGAGTAGTTGAGACATTATCAATATGAACTTTACTTTTAAATGATGGTATCAAGTCATTTTCTTCATTGAATTTTCTTGTTAAAAATAATTCCAGGCTGCTTGAGCCTCCACTGTTAACAAACTTTATTAAATGTTGAAGATAAATTTTTAATTTTAGTCAGGTGATAGTCTTAAGTCTGTCCATATACACACATGTGTATGGAATAGACTTAAGACTATCCATATGCATGTATATAAATGTGTACTCAAACATGCTGTAAAATGTATATGTTATCGGGCGCCTGGGTGGCTCAGTCGGTTAAGCGACTGCCTTCGGCTCAGGTCATGATCCCGGGGTCCTGGGATCGAGTCCCACGTTGGGCTCCCCGCTCTGCAGGGAGCCTGCTTCTCCCTCTCCCACTCCCCCTGCTTGTGTTCCCTCTCTCGCTGTGTCTCTCTGTCAAATAAATAATAAAAATAAACTCTTTAAAAAAAAAAATGTATATGTTATCTTAGGAAATGGGGTGAAAAATTTGAAAATTGTTACGCTCCTTAAGTCAAACTAACCTTGGACACTTAATGGAGGTCCTCTAATTATTTTAAATATGTTTACAAGTAATGCACTATAACTGGCTTCTTTGAATTAGTATAACAGTAGTAAATTCTGCCATGCATGTTGAAGGAGCTTTCAAGTAAGAATTAATGGAGTTGGTAGTTTTTAGTATATATACTTTACGTTCAATGTTTATTAGATTATGGTGGACTATTTTAGAGAATAAGTTTGAAATTTAAACATTTGTAATATTTAATGCCTATAAATATTCAGTATTCAGACCATTCATTCTGTTGACATTTTCAGATAGTTTAATAGTAAAATTTGCCTCAAACTTATTTTAGATTGTAAGCTTGCTGTGCTAAGTTGATAACTCACTATCTGATTTAATTTTAGTAATAGTATAAATGCTAAATATTTTATGCTTTATTTCAAGATTTTTCTACCTGAATGTGTAACATTTATAATTTAATTATTAGAAAACTTATCTCCTAATTGAGATTTTAACATTCTGTTTAGAAATTATTTCTTAACATAAGTTTAGTTATGGGATTGTGATACTGGCAGACAAGTTCGGAAAGTATCCTGCTTCCAGTCTACTATAAAGGTAAAATCTTAAGCTGTTATTTTATGATAATAAAGTTTTTGTTTCAGAAAAAATGTTTAATAAGTTAGATGAAATTACTTTTGTTGGTTTTAAGAATTATTTCTTCCACACATACCTACAGTCATTTGATTGTAAGACTGGATTTTTGAGAGCTTATATATTAAATGTTAGAATGTTTGAATTTGAAATTAGATCAAGGGGTGAATATATAACAACATAAGGAAAAGGATAGTACCTAGTATGTTTCTTGTAGATAATTCTAGGGAGAGATGTTGCTTGCAGAATGACTATACCAGTAGCTAGTCTGTTTTTTTTTGTACTTTGAACTAAAAGCATGGATTTATTTGTCCCTCAATCTATGCTTTTTAAAAAATTTTTTTTTTTTTAATATTTTATTTATTTGCGAGAGAGAGAATGAGAGACAGAGAGCACGAGAGGGAGGAGGGTCAGAGGGAGAAGCAGACTCCCCGCTGAGCAGGGAGCCCGATGTGGGACTCGATCCCGGGACTCCAGGATCATGACCCGAGCCGAAGGCAGTCGCTTAACCAACTGAGCCACCGAGGCACCCCTCAATCTATGCTTTTTATAAGGTCATAAAGATGAGACAAATCAATTACTTCATTCCAAAGAAATGTTATGTGGCTAATTGGCTACTACTGTTAGTTTCACTCATTTTACAAACAAATAGTAGTTGGGGCTTGTTACATGTTAGGAAGTCTGCCCCATGTTGGAGAGGACTTGGTTACTTTGATTCCTACAGAAGAAATTACCTTGGATGTTCTTAGAAAGTGCCACTGCTTTTCAATAATGTCAGCAAGTTTGAGGATAGAGTCTTGTAAAATGTGATGTTTCCTTATTTGTTTTAAAGATAATTTTTCTTTATATTGGAGCTAACACTTTTTTTTAAAATGTAAAAAGAATTGCTGTGTGCCAGTAATCAAGGTATTTGATTTTTTTCCTAAAAAGCAGCATCTGTGGTAGACATCTTGTGCTACTATTGCTATTCTTATTATCAATTTAGTAGAGTTTCCAGAGAAGAAAGTGCCCAGAAATGCTTGTATCCAATTTAACAGTGGACTCTCTTTGAGGAAGTTATTAAAGTATTGATTTGATGAAAGTTTCTATGGTTTATTTGATCTGAGAAGATGCTTTTTTAAAATTCCCTAAAAAATATTCTTGCTGTTTGACAGAGGTCATAAGGTTTCAAATGAAAATACATGAGTGAAGGAATAGAGAATAGGAACAGGAGAAAAAGTTTGGTGTATTTTGGACAAATTCCTTTGGTGAACTGTTTATAGGAACTGATCATTAAGAGGTATCTTATTCTAGTATGGTGAAAGTACTTTTTAAAGAGATTTTACTATAATGTTAGTTAGATGGTTGTATTTACTCCTGCTGTGATCATGTTTCACATAAGACATTGATAAAAATAGCATTTCACTCATTTTATTTCAGTGTTCAGTTCTTCTTGAAGAGATAATTTATCAAATTCAGATCCCTAATAAATATAAGCAATACTATTATTTATTTTTTGAGCTAGTAAAGTCTTTATAAGGGTTCGTGTTAGCAAGGAAATGGTGAAGCATTTTTATTGCTGTTGAGGTATAAATTGAAGATATTCCTAGAAGGCAGTTTGACATTATTAATGAAAATTTTATTTTTAGTTTTTAAAGATTTTATCTATTTGAGAGAGAGAGTGAGAGAGAGCACAAGAGGGGATAGGGTCAGAGGGAGAAGCAGACTCCCCACCGAGCAGGGAGCCCAATGCGGGACTCCATCCTGGCGGGATCATGACCTGAGCTGAAGGCAGTTGCTTAACCAACTGAGCCACCCAGGAGCCCATTAATGAAAATTTTAAAATGATTACATGAATTGACCCAGAGATTCTACTTACAGAAAACTCTTTAAAGAAATAATTTAAAAAAACTTAGGCAGAGATTTATGAATGGAAATGCCTATTGAAGATATATTTTATAACTGAATGATTGGCAGTATCCTAAATGTCTTACAGGAAAACACTTAACATGCAGTAGATAGATATGCTAAGAATGGTATTTCAGAGAATTCATAAGGAGTTTGGAAAATTCTAATAAGATGTTAAGTGACACAATTAGTATATTATCCTTAACAAAATACTAGCAAGCCAAATCAACAGCATATAAAGAGGATTATACATCCTGCCCAGATAAGACTTATCTCAGTCTAACATCTGAAAATCAATAACTGTAATATACCATAGTAAGAATAAAGGACAAAAGCATGATCATCTGAGTAGATGAAGAAAAAGCATTTTACAGACTTCAGCACCCTCTCATGGTAAAAATAGTCAACAAACTAAGAAGAGATGAGAACTTCCTCAGCGTAACAAAGGACATTTGTGAAAACCCCAGAGCTAACGTCTTAACAATGGTGAAAGACTAACTGGATACTTTTCCCCCTGAGATCAGGAAGAAGACAAGGATGGCACTGTTCAGTGTTATGGGCAATAAAAAAGAAATAAAAGGTGTCCATGTTGAAAAGGAAGAAATAAAATTGTATTTACAAGTGACAAGATCTATATACTAAATCTTAAATTCATAACCAAAACTATTAGAACTAATAAATGAATTTAGCAAGGTTTCAGTACACAATATCAATATACAAAATTAATTGTATTGCTGTACACTAGTAATGAACATCCAAAAATGAAATTAGGAAGAAAAAAAAATTAAAAACTAAGGAAATGAAATGAATTTACAGTAGCATCCAAAAGAATAAATTTACATAGAAATAAATTTAAAGAAGAAACGAGAGTTGCACATGAATAACTACAAAACATTTTTTGAAAGAAACTCTAAGGAAATGGAAAGTCATTCCATATTCATGGATCAGATTTAATATTGTTAAGATTGCAGCACTAAAAAAAAGAAAAAAAAAAAGATTGCAGCACTACCCAAAATGATCTGCACATTGGACGCTGTCTCCACCAAAATCCCAGCAGACTTTTTTTGCCCTCCAGAAATTGACAGACTGATCCTAAAATTCATATAGAAGTGCACGGGACCTCAGAATAACTAAAACAGTTTTGAAAATAAAAAGCAAACTTAAGATTCAAAGTTCCCAATTTCAAAATTTATTACAAAGCTATAGTAATCAAGACAGTGTGGTACTGGATAAGGAGGACACACAGATCAGTGAAATATAATTGAGAGTCCAGAAATAAAACCTCACATATTTATTTGATCACTTGAGTTTTGGCAAGGTTGTCAAGACTTTTCAAAAAGAGCAAAAATAGTCTTTTCAACAAATAATGCTGGGTCAACTGGATATCCACATACAAAAAAATGAAATTGGATCTGCCTCATGACGTATATAAAAATTAATTCAAAATGGATCAAAGATCATAATAAAAGCTGAAACTGTAAAAACTCTTAGAAGAAATATGGGAGAAAATATTTGTGATCTTGGGTTAGGGATCTTGGATGACACCAAAAATACAGTAACAACAACAAAAAAAGTGATAAATTGGATTTCATCAAAATGAAAAGCATTTAGGGGCACCTGGGTGGCTCAGATGGTTAAGCATCTGCCTTCAGCTCAGGTCATGATCTCAGGGTCCTGGGATCAAGCCCCACATCGGGATCCTGGTTCATCGGGGAACCTGCTTCTCCCTCTCTGTCTGCCTCTCCCCTTGCTCATGCTCTCTCTTTCTGTCTGTATCTCCGTGTCTCAAATGAATAAGTAAAATGTTAAAAAAAAAAAAAAGCATTTATACTTCAAAGGACACTATCAAGAATGTGAAAAGACAACCCATAGAATGGGAGAAAATATTTGCAAATCATATATCTGATAAGGAATTTGTATCCTGAATATATAAAGCACTCTTTTTTTTTTTTTAAAGATTTTATTTATTAATTTGACAGAGAGATAGCGAGAGCAGGAACACAAGCAGGGGGAGTGGGAGAGGGAGAAGCAGGCTTCCCGCAGAGCAGGGAGCCCAATGTGGGACTCGATCCCAGGACCCTGGGATCATGACCTGAGCCGAAGGCAGACGCTTAACGACTGAGCCACCCAGGCACCCCTATATAAAGCACTCTTAAAACTCAACAATAAAAAGACAACACAATTAAAAATAGATACTGTGAGAGATACTTCCCCAAAGAATATATACAGATGGCCAATAATCATGTGAAAAGAAGCTCAACAGCATTAGGTATTAGAGAAATGCAAGTTAAAACCATAATGCAGTACTATTTCATATACACTTGATGTCTAATATCTGAGACAGGTAATAACAAGTGTTGATAAGGAGACAATGGAACTTTCATATGTTGCCGCTGAAATTGTAAAATGGTCTAGTTACCTTGAAAGTTGTTTGTTCATCAGAATGTTAAAGAGTTATCATTTGGCCTAACAATCTCACTCGTAGGTATTCCTATCTCATTGTCAAGAGAAATGAAAATGTATGTCCACACAAAAACTTGTACATGAATGTTCATGGCAGCACTATACATAATACAAAAATAAAGTAAATGTCCACGAACTGAGAATGGACAAATGTGCTGTATCCATATAGTGGAATATTATTTGGCAAAAAAAGGAACAAAGTACTGAAATATTAAACATTAAAAAATTAGACAGGGTAAGAACTCTTTTTTTTTATTATTATGTTATGTTAATCACCGTACATTACATCATTAGTTTTTGATGTAGTGTTCCGTGATTCATTGTTTGCGTATAACACCCAGTGCTCCATGCAGAACATGGCCTCTTTAATACCCACCACCAGGCCAACCCATCCCCCCACCCCCTCCCCTCTAGAACCCTCAGTTTGTTTCTCAGAGTCCATAGTCTCTCATGGTTGGTCTCCCCCTCCGATTCCCCCCCTTCATTTTTCCTTTCCTGCTATCTTTTTTTTTTTTTTAACATATATTATTTGTTTCAGAGGTACAGGTCTGTGATTCAACAGTCTTACACAATTCACAGCGCTCACCATAGTGAACTCTTGAAATATAAACTGCATTATTTTCAAACCTTTTTATTCCAGCAGCTTTAAAAGCAACTCCACCCTCTGCTTAGACAAGACCACCTTTTCTTTTTTATTCTTCCCTGTCACTCTTACCTTTGTGCTCACTCAGAGTCATGGATGGGCAGAGTACAATTAAAGGTGTGGACTTTAAAGTACTATTCAAGGTAAAGGACTTCTGTAGACTTGAAACACTCATTTTCCTAAGTTAAGGACTAGGAGCTATTAATTTGACAATTACATAAAAACTAAGGTCATATTTTCATTTTTATTTTTAAAGGAAGTTTGTTTAAGCCTTGGTTATTAATTATCTATTACTGAGTATCAAATTACGGAAAAACTTAGTTGCTTAAAACAGTAAATATTACCTCACAGTATTTGTGGTCAGGAATAAAGAGCAGCTGAGCTAAGTAGTTCTGGCTCAGTGTGTATTATGAAGTTGCTGTCATCTGAAGGCTTGATTGGGGTTGGAGGTTCCTAGGGAGCTCACATGCTTGGTAAGGTAGTGCTGGCTTTTGTCCAGAGGTCTCACTGTTTTGCATGTGCATCTTTCTCTATATGGCTGCTTGTATGTGTTCGCCATAGAGTGAGTGATCCAAGAGAGCTAGGAGCAAGCCACCATGTCTTTTATGACTTAGTCTTATAAGTCACACACCATCCCTCCTGCCACGTTCTATTTGTTAGAAGCTAGTCAGAGCCCTCATTCAAGAGTGGGAGACTTAAGCTTCATCCCTTAAGAGAATGGTAGCAAAGAACTTGTGGACATATTTGAAAAACACCAGTGAATGCTTGAAATTCTAAACTGATTTACATTTCACATGAATTTTGCAGTGTTTAATTGTTCTTCAGAGACTAGATGTTTGGCTCTCTGGTGGGAATGACCTATGTGTGTGGAACCAAAAATTAGATCTCCTGTGTAAGACTGGTCACCTTTCTGATACAGGTAAGAAAACAAATCAAAGTGATTATGAACCATGATTGATAGGCTTTAAAAGACATAATGAATCTTCAAAGAGACTTTCCATGAATACAGAGGTTAATATAGGGGATTTTTCTTTTCAATTCTGAATATATCCTGTACCGTATTTCTCCAGTTCAGGTTCATGGTTGCGTAAAATATATTTCCATCTCAAATTGGAGGGAGATGACCCTGCCCCTCCTCTTGGCCTTCCCTTCTAGTCTAACAGCGTTTCTCAAAGTGGTCAAGAAAAACCTTTTCATTTATGCTCTTGGACTCTGTTCCTAAACTGAGTTTGATGAGCACATTGACACGTGGAATTAAACCTTTCTGACTTTATAATAGCATTTCCTTCTTTATTTGTGGGGTTATTGGACTTTGAATAGATTCCAAAGGATGACTTCGTTTTACAATTGGTTTTGCTATAAAGTTCATACATTGTGCAAACTTACTAATAAAATTCTATTTTCTCAGAATTTGGTTGATATTTTTGGTTTTAACAGAAGAAAATCAGTTTTGACTTCTGATACCAAGGATCTTAAAAAATAAAACTAAAAACTATTCAGAGTAAAAATATTTAAGTAAAAATGAGTAAATTTGAGTAGTAACCTTGAAGTCATGTGATACACTGTTAACTATGTTTCTGAAAGTAATCAGATAAACCCATGGACATTGTAGAAAGAACATTATTAAGCATATCGATGTCTTAAAGGCAGCAGGAGCCCTGTGAATTTAATTTACAGTTCATAATTGGAACTAACTCATCTCCACATAGATACTATAAAATGTTAGAAAACTAACGTGATGTCAGCAAAACTAAATCCATACTGTTCTAGGATTTACAGTTTTACTTCTCCATTGAATGATCACTAGTAATCTTGGTGGTATCTAGATTGTATTTTCAAATTTCCTATTATGAGTTATAGCTCTATTTACATGTATATTTTCCTTTGTGTTTCTTACATTAGCTTGTGGCTACCTGTGAATTTTATTCCATGAATTATTAGTATCTATGTTGTGAAATACTGAAATCAGGGCTAACGAAAATGTTTTGTATGTTAGTATAAGGAACCACCTATTACTGTAGTCTCCCTTTCTTTTGCAAGTTATCTTGGAGTACTGCTAGGTAATCACAGTATTGCCCTATTTATCAGTGTCTCAAGAGATAGTGGAAACCTTTGAGAAAATCTTTTAGAAAGCTTTGAGAAGACCATAGGGTACCATTGGTGAGCTTTTTGTGATTTGGGTTTTCCAGATTACAGGATGCTATTGAATTAGCAGTGCTCTTAGACCTTTAGCTCAGGAAGCTTCTTTCATAAGGCTTACTTGATTTTAGGCTAGCAGGGCTTCTGGGGGCAGTTATTCTATATTTGGAAATAAGCAAAGATAGTCCTAGTACAATGCAATGGAAAGAACCTTGGCCTAGAACACAGGATATCTTTCCTTTTCCAAAAGCAGCATGTTCTGTGATTTGTGTATTAAGTTGCTACTTCTAGATTGCTGAGTTTCCAGTATATTCATTACTTGATAAACATCTTTTTATTCGAGTATAGTTGACACAATGTTACATTAGTTTCAGGTGTATAACGTAGTGACTTAGCAATTAGATGTTACGCTGTGCTCACCACAAATGTAGCTGCCATCTGCCACCGTACAGTGTTATTATAGTACCACTGACTGTATTCCTTGTGCTGTACTTTTTATTCCTGTGACAGTGTTTTAACGAGCTGTTTTCTGCATCTAGAATTCTCCTCTTGCTACCCCTTCCCTTGCTCTCCTGTCTCCTCTACTTTTTAGCTTGTACCACTTCTCCCCCTTTCTCCTCCTCCACTATCTCCTCCTCCTCCTTGAACATGGAAAAACACAAAGCATACTGTCAAAACAACTCTACATGGAGAAAAGATTTAGGTTAGAAATACTCCCCATATCCTAAGAGTGCTAGTTTTTTGATGGGTGGGAAGTTAAAGCAAATGAGTAGAATATTTTCCTAATTTGTATGTATTATAAATTACATATATATTTGTGTGTGTGTGTATAGATATAAATTTCATATATTTCATAATGGAAAATTAACTTTAATAAAATTTTTTTACCAGCTCATGGTGGTTCTGAATCTAATATATCAATTCTTTAATTCTTGCTGACAAATAATTGTAATGTCTTTTACAAAAGTTAAGGTTACCCTAAAATCATTTCATGATTCAGCTATAAAAAGATACTCAGAGAACTCTCTTACTCTTCCAGTAATACAAGGAATTTTGTGAATGTACTAATTGATTTTAAACATGCTATTTGAAAGCCATGTTCTTAGCTATTGATTGTTGTGACTTAACTCATTTACTGCCAGGGGGTCTGCTCAGGCTTTTTAAATTTACATTGAGGAAAATGCCAACTTTGCATCTTGTTTGAGCTAGCTATCTTGTAAATGATCATGGTGATTGTCCTAAGGGATTCCTGGTAAAAAAGTTGACCACAATAGTAAAAATGTTCAAAGAGCGTATTCTGCCCTTAGTAAATTAATGTCTTCTTTAGGTCTCACATACTTTTCACAGAATCATTTTCCATGTTTAGGTAAGCACGGAAGTGTGGTGTAGCAAACTATATGAGCTTTATTGTTACCACCACTTTTATGGGAAATGACTGACGTAAATCTGAGAATGTTTTTATTTTTGATGTCATCCTTGAAGAAAATAATTTGACCTTTGTTTTATATATATTTTTAAGGGATCAGTGCTTTGATTGAAATACCTAAGAACTGTGTTGTGGCAGCAGTTGGCAAAGAACTGAGTGAGTAGGACTCTTCTTCTATTTCTTTTTTAAAAAATTTAAAACTAGACTTGTATACACATGTTGGAGAGACAAGTTAAGTTTTTAATTTAAGGGACATCCGCCCCTGCCCCAGTGTTGGCCTCCTGCGATTTTTGAAGTGATGTGGAGACTGAGACATTTTCAAGACGTTGGGTCAGTTTTTGTTCTGTGCTTGATCTAACCCAGAGAAGTGGGAGCAGGGTAACCCTACATGTCTGATGCCAGAGAAGGCAATTTACATTCCATAGTCCTCTCTGTTGCTGGTCCATAGTCATACACTTAGCAAACATTTTAACCACGTAAAGCAGCTATCAACATTCTGGCAACTAAAAACTTGAGTTGGATGGTTGGAGGACGATCTTCGTGGAAATTCACTGAGGTAGCCACTATGGCGTTTTTGCCTCAGGAAGCCAGAGTGGGGCCTGTTTTCTTGGGAGGAGTTTATACCATTTCCTTCAGAGTGTAGTAGGGGACCTTCAGAGCAGAGGGAAGGGGGTAGCAAGAGGAATTTTGTAAATGTATTAATTGATTATAAACCTGCTGTTTGAAGGCCACTTCACTGTTGACTGTTGGCTCTTTCACTGCCGGGGAGCCCACAGTAAATAAGCCTTTTGTTCCCACTGCCTTTTGAATGGAATTTGGGTGTGAGAAGTGATAGTAATAGTAAGCATGCTGCTTAAAGGCTGCTTTTTTCTACAAGAATTTTTCTAATGTACCCCCAGAGGGCATTTGATGTTACTTGTGCTACTTTTCCCACCGACCAGACCTGAGACTTGCAAATGCCAATACGACGTGAGCTAATTGTTTACCATTTATTATGTGCTGTTTGCAGCCTCCATTGCTTTGTAGCCAAGTGTCTCTTTCTTCAACTGACCTTTCCATGTGTAATCATGTCAGAGGAGTAATTTTCTGGACCCTGTGCTTATCCTTTCTTTCCATAGAATAGTTTCAAAAGATACAATGCTGTGTTTAGTTTTCTCTTTTCCTTGCAGAAAGGAAGTTTTCCCACATTTTTGATGGAGCTGGAAACCTGCCTCGCTCTTCCCTGCCTTTCTCCTCCCATAGCCAGCCAATCACTTTGAGTTTTGCTGATTTTACTACCTAACTCAGTGGTTCTCAGATTTTACTGTGCATTAAAATGACCCAGAGTGCTTGCTAAAAACACAAATTACTAGGTCATACCCCTAGAGTTTCTAATTCAGTAGGTCTGGAGTGGGGCTGAGCTTCTGCATTTCTAACACGTGTTTTGGTGCCACTGAGGGTGCCGGCTGGGGGCCATATTTGAGGACTGTGGCTCTAAATATTTTGATCCTCTTCTTTCCATCTCACTACCGTTGCTCTGCTCCGTTCAGGCTCTCATCTCCCCTTTTGCCTGTTCTGTTGTGCTAGTCTCCTAACCTACCTTCTTTCCTCTCCTCTACTGTAGTACTTCTCCAGTGCCTTCTCTAGTTTACAGCTTCTCAGATACATTTTCCAGGAGGTGCCAGAGATGATCGATCTAAAAGGCAGTCTACTTCCCTGCTTAAAACCTTCAGTGGCTTCTATTGCCTACAATGGTCATTTCTACACTTTCAAATTTCTAACTAGTACAAAAGTGTTTTGCTTAGTAAAAACATTAGAAGCAAAAACAAAAAAATAAACTATCATTTACCGCCTTTATTCTGTAAAATTACTTTTTAACAAAAATTATGAAGAACATGATCTCAGCAAAGAATAGGTTTTATGCAGAAAATAAGTTGTAAAAAATATGTAATCTTAAAAATAAGGTTCTGCATTTTGTTAGTTTTATCATATACATAGTGCCATTTTTCCTTATATAAAAATAAATTTCAGAGGCACCTGAGTGACTCAGTCAGTTAAGCCTCTGACTCTTGATCTCAACTCGGGTCTTGATTTCAGGGTCGCGAGTTCAGGTCCTGCATTGGGCTCCACGATGAGTATGGAGCCTACTTATAAATAAATAAATTAATTTAAAAAAATTAAAATAAATTTCATTCTGTAAATAGAGTATCTTTTGTATTTCCAGGACCCAATTTCTGCCCATGTTCTTGGTTTTAAATGTTCCATACCAATTTCTCTTTTTCTGTGTTAGGGCATGCTCCTTTCAACAGGAAATACAATTTCTTTCTTTCTTTTTTTTTTTTAAAGATTTTATTTATTTATTTGACAGAGAGAGAGATAGCGAGAGCAGGAACACAAGCAGGGGGAATGGGAGAGGGAGAAGCAGACTCCCCGCCGAGCAGGGAGCCCGACGCAGGGCCCGATCCCAGGACCCTGGGATCATGACCTGAGCCGAAGGCAGATGCTTAACGACTGAGCCACCCAGGCGCCCTCTTTATTTTTTTTTAAGTATTTATTTATTGCATGTGTACATGAGTGAAGGGAGGGGCAAAGGGGAAGGGAGAGGGAGAGAATCAAGCAGACTCCGCACTGAGTGCAGAGCCGGACTCAGGGCTCAATCTCACAACCCTGAGATCATGACGTGAGCTGAAACCAAGAGTTGGATGCTTAACTGACTGCCACCCAGGTGCCCCTCAATAGGAAATAAAATTTCTGAGTGTACTGTGTGTTTCAGTGATTTTGAGGCTTTACTAGCTAAGCAAGGCTATCAGCTCAGAGACTTCATCTTGGTTCAGAAGACCAGGCTATTTTTTCTTAACCATTTTTTAGAATTGACTATTGCTTCCCTTTTGTCTTTGGATCTAATTTGTATTTGTTTTATTTCCTTGAAGTTATTACATGGGTGACCCTGTGAATACTTGCCTGTGGGGACCATATTTATGGATTCACTGAACAGTTTCACATTATATTTAGTACTTGGTAGTTTATAGAAACCTACTTGGTAGGTTTCCTTTTCTTGTCAGTATTTCAGGTTATTATTTCTTCTAGTTTGATTAAATAGTACATTGTCTGTTATTCCACAGTCCCAATCTTAGGGTGATTTAGTCGTATTCAAAGTATAAGTAGAATTTTTACACAACTTTGGTAGGCATCCAGAAGCATTCCCTTTGGATTTACTGAAAGACCTTCTTTTGATAGCCACTGTTTGAATGTGAATGGCTGTCAGGATGAAATAACTTGGCTAGAGATTTGTCATTTGGTAACATATTGTCCAGAGACATAGACAGAAATGTGGTATGATTTGTTTTCCAGAGAGGAATGTGAGAAAGAAGAGAAACATTAGTAATTAGCCACCACCTGGAAAGGATATGAGTTCTGAGGCCTACCCACTTCTCAGATATTAATCATCCTAATCTGTGAGCATCCATAGCATTTGGTACAGTGGCTTATCTACAGCACTTAATACATTGATCATAAGCTTGTTTATAAGTCTCATTCCCACTCTAGACTGTATTTTAGGACAGTGACTGGGCCTTTCTCACATTTGATGTCTAAGTTTCTGGAACATAGTAAATGTTTAGTAAATGTTGATAGAATCACTCCTGTTGATTGGATTTTTGGGTTTTCTGTATTGATTAAAGTTAGGATTTATACAAGTTTAAATAAAACTATTTGTTAAAAAGTCAGATAATGACTAAAGCAACACACTGAACATCTATTATAGTCAAAAGTATATTAAAGGAACACATTGAACATCTGTGACACACAAAAATTATAAGGCATGTTCTCAGAATTTATAATTCAATAATGTATGCCTAAGTATCAAGAAAATTTTAAAAAATTAATGGCTGCTGAAGTCTTCACTGAGTTGAAGTTAACCATGAATTTGTAGCTTCTTTTTGTAGCAGTGCTTACTGACCTGAGAACATGAGTAGATGAAGATGATTCTAGGTTGTAGACCAGTCACTGTCCAAGGAGAGAGGGAGGCAGGGTAGCCAGACTTATACTGAAGCCCTAGATAAGATGGAGACTTCTGGGCTTAAAAGAGTTTTAATAAACGAACAGTTGTAAAGACACACTCACTTGGGATTTTAGTAGATCATCTCAAACATCTCAAGCATTTGAAAGAAATACTCTAAAGTAGTATGAGTAAGGCTTTCTTTGCAGATGAGTTTTTCAATATTTTAGATCTTTCTCACTTAATGAAATGCTAGCTTTTTGAGCAGAAATAGAATTCTGACTTCTTTGACCATTTTAACAAAATTGTATCTGTATTTTCATTTAGTAATTTTCCAGCTGGTAGCACCCACAGAAGAATCACTGGAATGGGATATTCTTGAAATTAAGCGCCTCCTTGATCACCAGGATAATATTCTCTCATTGGTTAATGTCAATGGTAAGCTTATTGTGTACATGTTTATATTCTGTAAAATTTTGCACTTTGTTAACAGTACCGATTCTGAACTTTAGTCTTGTTTTGTTCTAGGAGTCTATAATTACCATCATTAAAATAATGCTTTACACTAGTAGGGATCAGCAGTCTACTATATTCTGAGGTTTAAGCCAATGGAACTGATCAAGTTTCCTGGGTTGGTAGGTATCTAAGATGTAGGAATAAGAAAAACAGAGTGAGGCAGAGAAAGAAGATAATGGAGGGAGCAGGATTCGGGTGCTGCGTGGTAGCTGTGGGATGCCTGTCATAGGCTATAAATACTAATGCTTAGTAGCATTTCAGCATTTTTGGCAAATGGTTCTGGCTAGTTTTTCTTCTATGGACCACACATTACAATATCATACAGCAAGATATACACTTAGAGCAGAAGGAGCAGGATTCAAGTGGGTTGTAATCATGACTGAAAGACTGCCAGAGAATACCACCAAGATAAAGTAAAGATCTGCAGAATTTGGGTCCTATGTGCCCTTCTTCATGGTTGTGAGCTGACTCTGTCATCAGATGGCAGGGTAGGATCACAAACCACCAGTCCTGGGATTTGGTTGGCTCACTTTCAAATAAAGTGACACCTTGTATCATCAGACCTCTATTGGGGAATCTATATTCCACGGTCACACAAGAGGAGTCCTGGATAGCTTAGTTTGATGATAGTCTGATGGAGACCATAAGAGAATTGTGAGATGCTATGAATATGATGTAGTGGGAGGACCGGACTGCACTCCCTGACCTGAGCCCTGGGTTGGCTCTTTTTGAGCAATACTTTGTGTAACCATGAAGGAAAAGGAAATAGAGGTACAGACAGCACCAAATGTAGTCTCTATTTTTATGCCATTGAATCACATTTTCAGATACATGTGTGAGAATGTCCTTTCCAGCTCCAAAATCCTCTTCCCTGATAGTCATCTTCTTACACAACCCAGCTGCAAGTCTTTCTAAAGACCAGATTGTCTGTGGTGATAGAAGTAACATGTTGGGAGCACCCTTTTATTTTTCTCTGGGGGCTTTTATTTTCTCTAGCCATGATGGGCAGCACAAAAGACAAGCTCTTATTTGGGAGACCCTCTGATACTGAGCCCTTAACTCCAAGGCCCTGGAGCTGCTAAACAAAGCACAATTACACTGGTCAGGCCTAGTTGTTCTGTTTTAGTGGTGAAGCACTGGTACCATTGGTCCAGCATGGCTCCTTAATGAAGGTGATGGGATGTTACTCAAGAGACCTTAACCTCGTGGCGTTTCTTTTGCTGCGTGATATGCAAAGAAGCTTGTAACAGTTTAACCAAGAAAGTGTTCTTCAAGTATTTCTTTGCCAACTTCTTAAGGGAAGGAAAATGGAAATCTAAACAAAAAAATTGGTAATGAAAATTACGGGAAACTCCTAGTACTTTTTACTTTATTAACTCCCTGACTGTAAAATTATACTACAAATAATAAATAAGCCAGAAGCATATTGAGGAATCATATATGGACAAAGAGTTTGTTAGAATTTGAAAATTATATTGTGACAGTCTTATTGTGTATGCACGCATGTTTGCTGTACCGCAGATTTCAGTGATCCTGAAATGATTATGTTGTACAATTCCCAGCTCCATTCTCAGCCTTGTGTCTTTTCCCCATAGTTACCATGGAAGATGTGGCTAGTTACTGGGTTTGTACTTCACAGGGGAAGTACATTTTCATTGAGGTGGCCCCAGGCAACCTTAGAATGGTAGGACAGCATTCCCACAAATGTGGATAATGAATAACAGGTTTGCCAAGATATCTGAATTTGTGAGCAGAAGGTTTTCTAACACAGACATACAAGATAACCTTGTTTATGTCTTCTAGCAAAAGACTCTGGTGCTTCTTCATTTTATTCCTTTTCTTGTTTTGACAGCATGGTATGGTAATCACAATCTTTAGTACTTGTGAGGGAAGGATAGACAATTACAAGAATAAGATTTTATACTAAGTGACTTTTGATACTTACATTGGATGAAAATCCATCCATATATATCGCTGAGGTTGTTTTGTGTGAAACATTTTGAGTGACCTGTTTGGGAATATATATTATACAGTGAAAATTACACTGACTTAGCTGAATGCCAGTATTTTGTTTTAAGTGGAAAATTCCAACTGGGGAGAAATACTTTGTGTAAGAATTGTGTAATACTTTGTTTCCAGTGCATAGCTGAATCACAGACAGTTGGGAGGATTAAGTCAGAGCAGGCAGCTGTGTGGCCTCGGGGTTACCTGTTATGATGACACATGCAGAGTTAGTGTCAAGAATCTTCACTCCTTAACTTCTCCGGTTCTTTTGTAGTTTGAATGAAATAGGAAAGAGGAGGGAAAGGGATGGAAAAGAAGGTCACGGAAAGAGTAGTACCACCTTACCTGTCCCACTATTAAAATTAGAAACTTGTTTCTCTGCACAGATGAGAAGTGAACTTTCTTCACAAAGCAAATTTGGTAGTGTGTTAATAAACTATAGAAATTGGACTTGGAACCAAGACAAAATAATGTTTACATGTATGATTGTTGGTAATTTTTTATTTCTAAGCAATTGTTCATCTAGTTATTAGATATTTATGTCATGGTTCATTTGATAAATGGAATAATCAAATCCTAATTAACTCATCTTTGTATTCCTAAATTACAAATAACTGGATGTCTTAATACCATTATTATGGAATAATACTGGGGGCTCAAAGTAATCTCAGGGACTCAAAGATAACATTTGATATCTTTTTTAAATGGCTATACATTTATTATTGGATTTTTACAATCATCCTCATTCAATGTATGAGAAATCCAAATAGAGAAAGGTTAAATGACTTTCTGAGGACCAGGGGGCTAGTAATAGAGCCACAATTAGAACTTGGTTTTTAGACTCACACTTACCTAAAATATGTAAGGATTAAAATAAATTAATTTCTTTAAGATAATTTTTAGTGTCAGCAGTTGCCCATTTTCTATTAAATATATAATTTATAAGGTTTCTTAGTTAGCTCACTAATTTTAAGGTTATAAAAACTTGTTATTATACAAGTAATACATAGTCATAGTAGAGAAATGAGAAAATAGTGAGAAACATGTAGAATGTAAAAATTAAAATTGTCCAATGCTACAGAATTAAACACTGGTCATCCATATCCTTCTGGGCATTTTTCTGAGCGTATGTATATATATACACATATGGCTTGTGGTTTTGTAATAATATGTCATGAGTATATTTCTAAAGCAATAGAAACATACTTTTACAACTTAATTTTTAATAATAGCATTACTGGTTTTTTTGTTTGCCTTTTTAAAAAAAATTTTATTATGTTATGTTAATCAACATACATTACATCATTAGTTTTTGACGTAGTGTTCCATGATTCATTGTTTGCGTATAACACCCAGTGCTCTATTCAGTACATACCCTCTTTAATACCCATCACCAGGCTAACCCATCCCCCCACCCCCCTCCCCTCTAGAACCCTCAGTTTGTTTTTCAGAGTCCATAATCTCTCATGGTTCGTCTCCCCCTCCGATTTCCGCCCCTTCATTTTACCCTTTCTACTATTTTCTTTTTTTTTTTTTTAACATATAATGTATTATTTGTTTCAGAGGTACAGGTCTGTGATTCAACAATCTTACACAATTCACAGCGCTCTCACCATAGCACATACCCTCCCCAGTGTCTATCACCCAGCCACCCCATCCCTCCCACCCTCCACCACTCCAGCAACCCTCAGTTTGTTTCCTGAGATTAAGAATTCCTCGTATCACTGAGATCATATGATACATGTCTTGGTTGACTTACTTCATTCAGCATAATACCCTCTGGTTGACTTACTTCATTCAGCATAATACCCTCCAGTTCCATCCACGTTGTTGCAAATCGCAAGATTCCACTGTATATATATACACCACATCTTCCTTATCCATTCATCTGTCGATGGACATCTTGGCTCTTTCCACAGTTTGGCTATTGTGGACATTGCTGCTATAAACATCGGGGTGCACGTACCCCTTTGGATCACTACTTTTTGTATCTTTGGGTAAATACCCAGTAGTGAAATTGCTGGGTCGTATGGTAGCTCTATTTTCAACTTTTTGAGGAACCTCCATACTGTTTTCCAGAGTGGTTGCCCCAGCTTGCATTCCCACCAACAGTGTAGGAGGGTTCCCCTTTCTCCACATCCCTGCCAACATCTGTTGTTTCCTGACTTGTTTATTTTAGCCATTCTGACTGGTGTGAGGTGGTATCTCATTAAGGTTTTGATTTGGATTTCCTTGATGCTGAGCGATGTTGAGCACTTTCTCATGTGTCTCTTGGCCATTTGGATGTCTTTGGAAAAATGTCTGTTCATGTCTTCTGCCCATTTCTTGATTGGATCATTTGTTCTTTGGCTGTTTAGTTTGATAAGTTCTTTATAGATTTTGGATACCAGCCCTTTATCTGATATGTCATTTGCAAATATCTTCTCCCATTCTGTCGGTTATCTTTTGGTTTTGTTGACTGTTTCTTTTGCTGTGCAAAAGCTTTTTATCTTGGTGAAGTCCCAGTAGTTCATTTTTGCCCTTGCTTCCCTTGCCTTTGGCAATGTTTCTAGGAAGAAGTTGCTGCGGCTGAGGTCGAAGAGGTTGCTGCCTGTGTTCTCCTTTAGGATTTTGATGAACTCCTGTCTCACATTTAGGTCTTTCAACCATTTGGAGTCTGTTTTTGTGTATGGTGTCAGGAAATGGTCCAGTTTCATTCTTCTGCATGTGGCTGTCCAATTTTCCCAACACCATTTGTTGAAGAGACTGTCTTTTTTCCATTGGACATTCTTTCCTGCTTTGTCGAAGGTTAGTTGACCATAGAGTTGAAGGTCCATTTCTGGGCTCTCTATTCTGTTCCATTGATCTATGTGTCTGTTTTTGTGCCAGTACCATACTGTCTTGATGATGACAGCTTTGTAATAGAGCTTGAAGTCCGG